GCGTGCGGTCGCTTGCCGTGTCATCCATGATGCTAAACACACTTGCTGGCGAGATTATGTTTCCACCATCACCTCTGCTTCCTCTATGAGTGCAGTCTGGAAAAAAGTGAGGAAATTGGGTGGTAAATACTCTCCTGACCCGGCCCCTGTTCTATGTGTCGCCTGTGTTGATATAGCAAACCCTCTTGACATTGCCATTGAAATTGGCACTCATCTGGTCTGTATTTCCCGGGGGCTCCATCTATGCCCCTCGTTTCTTTCCTCGAAGTCTGCCAGAGAGTTAGTACCCTTGGACTTTTCTTCTCTCAGAGCAGAACAGTATAATGTGCCTTTTACACTTAGGGAACTAGGGGCAACACACTCAACTTGCTGATCATCGGCAGCTGGGCCTGACGACATTCATATTCGGATGTTACAACATTTTAATCAGTCAGCCCTTGCAGTCCTCTTACACCTCTTAGTTGGTCACAAGGATTTTTTCCCCAGCTGTGGAAATCTGCCATTGTTTTCCCTTTCCACAAACCAGGTACTACAGGACACGATGCCTCCCACTATCGTCCCATTGCTCTTACCAGTGTAGTTTGTAAAGTGATGGAATGTCTGGTAAATCGACATTTAATGTGGTATTTAGAGACACACAACAGTCTCTCCACTAGTCAATATGGGTTTCGTAAGGGCCGATCTACCATAGACCCCTTGCTACGCTTGGATAAGTATGTTCGCAATGCCTTTGCGAATAATCACTCAGTTATTGCCATATTTTTTGACGTTGGGAAGGCATATGACACAACTTGGAGGTATAATATTTTGGCCCAAGCTCACTCCTTAGGCCTCCGAGGCAATCTACCTTTCTTCCTTAAGAATTTTTAACTGACAAACATTTCCATGTTCGTGTGAATGATGTGCTCTCCACGGACTTTGTCCAAGCTGAACGTGTCCCTCAGGGATGTGTTCTAAGCATAACACTTTTTCTCCTTCCTATAAATGATTTGGCCTCTGTTCTTCCATTCAATATTTGGTCATCACTCTATGTAGATGACTTCGCTCTTGCTTGTGCAGCGCTGACTGTCACCTCATTACAGTTTCTCTCCAGCATGCGGTCGACAGTGTTTCCAATTGGGACATCATGCATGGGTTTAAAATTTCCAGTACCAAAACTCACCAAATTACTTTCACTAGACGCTTTGTCATCTCCAATCATCCTTTGTACTTCTATGACTCTCGTATCCCTGAACAAGATACAGTCAGGTTTCTAGACCTTCTCTTTGACCGTAGGTTATCCTGGAAACCTCACATTACCTCTCTGAAGGCAACTTGTCACAGCCGGCTGAACCTTCTTAAAACCCTTGCTCATCTTTCATGGGGAGCTGATCGTCAAACTCTCCTTTGCCTACATTCAGCCCTCATTTTATCGAAACTCGATTATGGTGACCAGATCGATTTAGCGGCCTCTCCTGCTACTCTCTCCAGCCTTAATTCCATCCATCATCAGAGATTACGTTTATGCCTTGGTGCTTTTCGCTCTTCCCCTGTTGAGAGCCTCTATGCAGAAGCGAATGTTCTATCCTTGTCTGATCCCTGTGATGGCCATTGCCTTCGCTACTATGTACACTCTCATGATCTTTGCAGTCCTTCCATTTATAGAATAGTCACTGATATTAGTAGACATTATTTGTTTGCCGCCCCGGTTTGCTCGGTCCCTTTTCTCTTCGCTTACTTTCGCTCTTGTCTTCCCTTCAATTGCCACCTTTCTATGTTCATGTAGCATCTCACTTTTCCCTATCCCCCTGGGAAATTCCAGCTGTTCGAGTCTGTTCTTTCTCACTCCCTTGCTCGAAAGCCCAACTGCATACGGTAGCTTCTCGCTCTTTTTCTTGACCACTTCCACTCTCATTCTCATGCCATCGCAGTGTACACAGATGCTCTAAGTCTTCTGACGGCAGTCGGATTCGCAGCAGTGTTTCCGGACAGCATCGTGCGAGGACATTTACTGTCTTCGACTATCATTTTTACTGCTGAATTTTATGCCATTCTTGCAGCACTTATCCGTATTGCATCTATGCCTGTGTCATCCTTTGTGGTTGTTTCAGACTTCCTTAGTGCTTTACATGCTATACAAAAATTTGACACACCTCACCCCCTAGTTCTCTGTATCCAACTTTGGTTATGCCGTATCTCTACCAAACATAAAGATATAGTCATGTTGACATACAGGGCAATGAACAGGCAGACACTGCTGCGCGGTCAGCAGTACATGACCTTCCAGTTTCATATAGAGATGTTCCATTCACTGACTATTTTGCTATAGCTACCCACCTTCACACCCGTTG